GCTCATATTTCAGAAGCCCAGCCTGCCTTTGGTGTCCACACCCCAGGAACTGGGCACATCACTTCCCAGCTTTTTGGGGAGGGTGTGTGTACTATTCATCCCGAGCATGCTCACTCTAGCTGGTGTGGAGGTGAGCATCCAGGGCTGTTTAGAGCTGTATTAACCAGTGAAGCTTGCTGGTGGTGCCCTGGGGCAGTGAATTCCATGGGGCAGTTTGTGCTTTGGATGAAAGGAAAAATGAAACAAAGCCTCCGCTAGCCTGTTTGATTGAACACTGCCTCTCCTGCGCTCTCAGACAGAGTGAATGGAGGTGCCTGATATGCTTTCTCCACATCCTTCTTCTTATCTTTCTATCATGAGCCCTCATTAATCCTCCTTCTCGACAGGCTGAGCTTTCCAATTCTGCTTTCTTGTTAGAGGGTGTACCTGCAAGAGGCCTGGGAACATTCCCATCTTCTACCCATGACAGCTTCTGGGATAATTCTATATAAATTCTACAAGGTGACCAGCCTGGCATGCACTAGCTCACTTGAAGCAACACTGCTGATTTTCACAACAGCATCAAGAACAGATTCCATATCATTCACCACCCCATTTCTTATGCTGAAGAACAGGAGAAACTACTCAGAAAATGAGCTGACAAGGCTGCAGTGGGTGCTAACTCACTCCCAGGGGAGCCCTTTGGGCAGTGACCACACAAGCTCCGACCTCAGGGCTCTCTCCTGGCATTAGTGCCAGCCCCAGCCTCCTCCCCTCCCTCCTGGCTCTTCGTCCCCTCCAGCCCCTCGGGGTTTCCCAGTACAAGTATCCAGCCCATACCAGTCTCCCTGATGGATGCTCCCCCCCCCCCCCGCCCTTGTCTATCTCGAACAGTAGCTGCAGGATATAAACAAGAGAGGCCCCAGGTCCAGCTGTTTCGTGGTCCTCTGCTCTCCCTGGGTCATGCAGATCCACAGCCATGCCCAGAAGAGAAGCAGACAGCTAAAAAATGACAATCCTCATCAGAAGGGCTCAACAGGGTCCTCCTGCTGCCTCCCCACCAGCAGCTGGGTGGAAAACACTGCTCAGGCTCCAAGCTCCCTGCCTGGGGTTTGGAAAGCCTCTCCCGCAGGGAAGGGGATTTGGAATCTGCCTCTCGGTGAATGGCCCTGGCAAGGGGTTTCAATGCATTTTGAGGGGATGTCAGAAATTTTTCACTGTGAGGGTGGTGAGACACTGGCCCAGGTTGAACAGGTTGCCCAGGGAAGTTGTGGATGCCCCATCCCTGGAGGTGTTCAAGACCAGGCTGGATGAGGCTTTGAGCAACCTGGTCTAGTGGAATGTGTCCATGACCATGTCAGGGGGGTTGGAACTAGATGATCTCTGAGGTCCCTTCCAACCCAAACTGTTCTATGATTCTATGTTTTGCATCAGAATAGTGGTCCAGCTCCAGGCTTCCCGAAAGAGTTGAGCTGTACC